ATGTCGAAAAAAATCAAATAAGAGAGCTACATCCCCTGAAAAAGATGCATTTTTTAATGGATTTTTTTTTCCAATATTTCAGCAACCATTGCAGATAAAATTACAAAATTTGGTACAACTGATAACCTTTATACACCCAAACGAATGCAAAGGTAAAATGCCAAAATTTTTACTTAATTCTAAATTCCATACTTATTCACAAAAAAAAAAAATTTCTTGCATTTTTTCGATACAACTTACCGTTGTTGAGTAAAATCAGTTTACAATTTGTCTTACAAACCACAAAGAGGATAAAAATTAAATTTGTTTCACTGTTTAAGACACCCGTGATTAAAAATTTCGACAACTGATCTTTAAATTCGTTCAATTGTTATCAGCTATATCAACTTTTGTAACTTTATCTATTCTGCAATAGTGGAAAGCCCCATTAAAAAACAACGCATCTCTTTCAGGGGGTATAGCTCACTTACGTAACATTTTTTGATACATGTTCATAGGAAACTTTTGTCTTAAAATTGAATATTCTATCACCTGTTTAAGTTTGTAACAATAAAAACGGAACATCCTGTATACAGTGTTCCGTTTTTATTGTTACAAATTGAAACAGGTGATAGAATATTCAATTTCTAGACAAAAGTTTCCTATAAACATGTATCGAAAATACTATGAAAGGAAGCTACATCCCATAAAGAAGTATGTTTTTTTAGCGAGTTTTTCCAATATTTCAGAAGCCATTTTAGGTAAAATTATAAAATTTGGTACAGCTGGTAACCTACATACTTTTAAACAAATTCAAAGATAGAATATCAAAATTTTTAATCAGAGGCGTTCTGAACAGAGAGGATATGGATATAAAGTATGTACCCAAACTCTTTTAGCTGTTGTTTCTTATCACTTTCGAGAACAAGATCCTAAATTCCATAGTTGTACAATACAACTTAGCATTTTTGAGTAAAATCATTTTAAGATTTATGTGACAGACCATAAACAGCATTAAAATATAAAATTAAATTCCACCCTATACCCTTTCAGCTTAAGACGCCCTTGATTTATAATTTCGGCATTTGATATTTGAATTTGTTTAGGTGTGTAGAAAGGTTATCAGCTGTAAAAAAAATTGTATTTTTATCTATTGTAAAATATTGGGAAAAACTCATTAACAACGCACCCCTTTCAGAGGATATAGCTTCCTTACATAGTATATTTTGATACATGTTCATAGGAAACTTTCGTCTTCAAATTGAATATTCTATCACCTGTTTAAATTTATAACAATCAAACAGAACAGCCCGTAACTTAAAAAAATATTTATTTTCTATTTTATTTAAAACAACAAAATTATTAATGTTAATTAATATTAACAAAATACCTGAATAAAGACAGTTTAATTCGCAACAATGTGTATTCTTATAGACTTGAAAGGAAGAAACCTTTCGCATGATGAGTTATAATTTGTTGGTCACTGCCAGTTACGCCTAACATTCCGGAGAAATGTCAGAAGCAAACAGTCTATACTTTACTTACTTTGTTCCCCCTTATCAAGATAATTATTAACTTGTCTTGCAATAATAAATATTATACAAATAGAATTACCTTCATACAAAGAGCGTGTTCTTTAAGAAACATAGTTTATTGTTGGGTTGTATGATTCTATTCAATGCGAATCAGAATATATACACGGTGTCCCAAGTTTTAGAGTCGTTGCAAAAATAAATATTTCTAGTAGAGTAAAAAAAATATACCTAATGCAAAAATAGATAGATTTTGAGTAATTCTATTTTAACAGTTACCACTAGAAAAATTAAAGAAAATTTATCGTGTAGAAAATAGTCCTAAATTTTGAACAATATTAAAGCAATGAATTGAAATGTAATTAATCCCCTATGGTTAGCGCTATAATTTTTTTGACTCGACTAAAACTTAGAACTCCGTGTAACAAGCATAATTATTATACATAATTTATGCTGCATTCACACAACTTATGAATAACTTGTAGTGAGTTTTGAATAATTGAAATTAGCAAACATATCAGATTGCGATTTGTGGCCAAAACGTAACCACAAACTTCCAATTATATTAAAATCAATTCAGTTATTCAAATAATTTAAAAATTCATGTTTATTGTATAAGTTATAATATTATTCTTGAGTTGTAAATACCAATAAAAATATGCAGTTTGAGCGAGATACGCTAACAGAACCAAACAAAACTAAGTAAATGTAAAAAATGAACAAAAACACTTTAATTTTGAATGATTTGTTTTATTATCAGTTTGAGCTTTGTTGAAAAATAAAAGCATATTTAACTTTATTAAAAAAAATATTTTGTAAAAGAGATAGTTAAATATGTACATCGTCTAATCTCTAAATAGTAAAAATTCACCCTAATCCAATTGATTTGTTTTAATTCATTTCACTCTTAATTGAAAACAATTCAGTGATGACAAGTCAATAAAAACTATATGCCAATTTAATTTTCAGATGATGCCTCTTTAATTAAATACTGAATCGATAAAATTATGAGGAAGCAGACTGATTTTTTTGGTGTCAATTACTGGATACTTGACGATCGTGCATCAGTTACCGGTAGTGCGACGGACGAGAATATGTCGAGAGTCGATAGGACGTCGTCGTCGTCGTCGAATGAATGCAAGTCAGCGACAGGCCGAGGCGCACCAACGAGCATACGGAATGAGCTGCACTGTTTTCCCACGGTGACCGACTCATGCCCGTGATGTCATACCTCATGCATACATACATATACCGGCCATTCAGCGAACACACCGTCGCGAAATTAACCATTAACTACTCCGTGGTTATTGTGACTCCTCCACCGAAGTCATTCCGGATCGACTTACCGACGGAGTTACCGTCCTCGGCGACTCCACACATTTTATTACTCCATGAATCACAACTCGCAACAGATTATTATCTGCAAATACCTACTTTGTAATACAAGTATTAGTGCAATGGAGATTAAACCCGGCACAGATACTGATAATCGCTTAGTCCGCGTCTGGCGGCGCTTCAAGGCTCTGATTACTCTTCGTCGTCTTCATCGGCCAACCTAAGCGTCTACTAAACTTTGATCTCTTATCTAATTATCACCTTTCTCACACAACCTTACAAATTAACGCCTTTGTTGTCATTTCCGTTATGTCTACGGTCAAAATGTTAAGATATTGTTTCCTTTTTTGTCACAGTCGCTGACGATTGTCACCTGTTAGTGTCAATTGAGGAAAATACAGATGTCACTTTTTCAGAAAACCGGATGAACTCTGCTTGCTCACTTATGGTTGTGTTATTCGCGATATTCGCTTAGCCAAAACCGAAAAAAGTTCATACCACAAGTTCATAACGGAACATACAACTTTCATTATGATTCACATTATTAATATTATTGCCGTAAATTCTACTTATACAATCTCGCATTTCTGTGTTGACATTTCTTTCGCATTTAGCATTAGCCTTTTAACATTATTAGAATGTTCTTTATCTCGGTTTATTAGCACTATTCACGTGTTTTTCGTTTGCAAATATGAGAAATTCGAAACTCTCCAAATATGAACAAATATTTCATGGTAAAAATAATAAACAATTAATAATAGTCACCAGAAAATGTAATAAAAAGTGTAAAAATGATAAAAAGACATCTGTCAGAAAAATTCTCACTTGCTTGCCAAGTGTTACACTTTCATTGTAGCTGAGTATATTTTCTTAACAAATATATACATGACTTCAAAATAACAGAAAACACTATAATTTCTCGCCAAAAGTTTATAAAAATTCGGTCAATTAATACCGTTAATGGTGTTTAGGTCTCGCTTTGTAATCTAAAAGCTTTGTTGTCCGATCAGATATGGTATTATTTTGAAAAGAACAAAAAAACTACCTCGACTAAAGTTCCCCTTTTTATGTTCAACCTGTTCGTTTGACCAATAAAACCGAGTACAGTCGTTTTCTCTCTCTCAATCGCCTTTTTTCAATGTTCCATAAAACAAAATGTACTGTTTGGAGAGTGTTTTACTCATGTCCTTGTCTTCAATACTGGCCTGAAAAAGATGGAATCTCTCGAAGCGACCGTGGAATAATGACGTGATAAGTTTCAACAGTTTAGAGCTTATTGTTCGTTTTGGGTATGCGACACTGTTACGTGGTTCATACGAAAAGAACTGAGACAGACACACAAGCTCAGGTAATTCGGATTAGGTCCGCTTTTAGTTAGTGGAGAATTTAAAGGGTTTATTCGTTTATTTATCTCATTAGCACCGATCGAAAAGAATTTTTCTTTAGAGTTTTTTTAACATGAGGAGAAGTTAAACGCGGTCCGGTTTGCGTTTCTTAATTATCATTCTTTATAATAATTACATGTTCGTTATTTCTTTATTTCAAAATTTATGTTGCCGAAATATGTCTTCCATGTCCTTTATGCAAAGAAATACAAGACGGCAAACTTATCCAGTCTTTTCAATAAGACTTGAAAAGCAATGTTTTACAAGATGTACCAGCTGGTTAGCTAAGATAATTTGTATAGTGCTACTTTATTAAGTCATTTTAACACAAAATCTGCAAACTTAAAGCCATTGGTTCAAAACCAACTTGAGTTTCAAAAAGAGAAATGTTGTTTTAGGTTAGCTACTTTCGCTAATTGCCAATGTTGGTGGCAAAATTCAGAGCAGCAATTTATTTTCTATTATGAGTTTCTTGGAAGATAGTGAGATTTTGTATTAGTTACAGTCCAAAAAAGGCAAAAGAACGTGCGTTTTGTTGAGGCACACCAACGCGTCGTAGATATTAATCCTCCAGCTACAATACCTCAAATCAAATATTTTTACGCGAATTACTCTTGAAAGCGAAACTTTTATCTAATTATCATGGTGGTTTACCAAATAACCGGGAGAATTCCACTCCGATTCGTTCTCCTCCTCTTTGAATACCGTTCAACACAATGTTATTCCTATTTGTCACTTTGAATAAAAGTACAAAAAGTCAACGACTTACCGTCCATCTGAAGGTAAATGGCAAGACGAGTTTTCCCCTTTCGGGATCGGCAAGCGTGAAGGAATCACGTCCCAGTACCACACTAGAGGTGTTCCCGAAGGAGCACGAGCCGGTGCTGGTCACATTGCTCTGATACTCCTTCAAACACAATCGGAAGAAAGTGTTACAAGGTGTCGAGCAACGTCCCATGATCGGAGACCGCGCACCACCCCCACAACACTCTCCCGTCGAAAGTTCGCCCCTTGGATTCGCCATCTCCAGGACTTGCAGTTCAAAGAAGCCGGAGCCATGCGCACACTGTAACAGAAACAACAAAAAATCAACAGTCAAAGAGAAAAAAATTTGCAACAGAAAATGTCGACGAACTCGGTGTCGAAGCGCGGCTAATTTGCTATATTTCGTTGCTTTTTTTGCACTTTTAACAAAGTGAATTAATCAGTGGGTATTAAAGCGTGGAAAACAATAACCTGTAATAGCCGTAAAATTGAAATCAATTCAGACGAAGTTGTCAACTACTTAAAACGTTCAATGGTCCGAAGATTGTGGCGTCTAGCGGAGCGCCGTTTTGCCAAGTGTGACCACACCTTTAGAATTCAAGACCACACAATAGTGTAAGATGGACTTGGAAAAAAAAGCAAGACATGGTTATGGTTGGAGCAATGGAAATGGCTTGTGACACTTTTTGTCCTGCTTGATAGCTGCTCTAAAATTAATGAGCTATTTCAAATTTTTAACAGTAAATGATGCTTTTTTAACGATTGAAACGAAAAACTGCACACGCTATTTCAGTAATTTCCGTTGAAAAAAAAAATACAAAATAAAAATAAAAATGAAAATAAATAGGAAAGCCAAGTAGTTTGACATGTATAGTAGTATCAGATATTATCTGATAAATTCAATATTCAGCAACAAAAATTAAAAAAATAAAATAAAAAATCACAATAGCCACAAATTTTTTAAGAAAAAAAAGCTAAAAATTAAGAAAATCTATTTCCTGTAAAACCATTCAACCAATACAAAAAATAAAAATTTTTGTTTGCAACTCATGGTACTGCTTTTAAAGAAGTCTGTGAAATTAAGTTCTCACTGAAACTACTCACAACCTTTCGCATTCTTAATTGTTTTTTTTTTTTTTCAATTTACTGACAAGTATATCAACGATCCTTATAGCTTCAGAAAAACATATAGAAACCCAGAGTGTCAAATTATATCATGTATAAGATTAATGGATCTTCGTTTTTAATTAAACACGAAATTGGCAATGGCATTCTTCTTAAAATTTGTTAACACTCCAAATATGACTTTTCTTCAATATCTTCACTCAAGATTCATAAATTTTAACTACACTGTTTTGAATTTAAGCAACCCAACCCTTTGCGTGAGTGTTTTGCAAATTTAAATAGAATTTTTAAATGCAATTTAAAATTTAAATAAGAAAATCAACCACAACTTCAAACTTTCTCTGAATTTAAAATCATCTGCAATTTTTATGAACGTAATACATACATATTTACTCGTAGCTACAAAATATAAATATAATATTTACATAATTTCTTATTAGCAGGTATTATTTCCATTTCTGGTTTAAAAACAACTAAACGCAAAATCTGTTTTAGTAAGTTTTTAATAACTTATAGCATTTACATAATTATGTATTTTAGAGAAGAGTAAAAACACACGAACGCATACAAAATTATAGAATGATGGTTTTAAAATGCAGTATTGAGATTTTAAGAATATTTTTAGAAAAAAAACTCGACTTCATCAGTATTTAAAAGATTTTTGTTTTAGTTTCTCACCCTTCGTGATAGAATTAGAATAATAATTTTTGATTTTCTGTTTTGCATACGAAACGTGTGTAATGACAAACGTCGAAACAAAGAATGATGACATCGAGTCATTTCCTTGCGCAACTAATAACTTCACAAGACTACTTTATCCAACAATCCAACAATAACAATAATAAGCGACTACCTATAATAAGTGGGGTTTGTATGCGAGTTGTAACCATTAATAACAGAAACGCGAACTGCCTTACCATTAGCTATAGAGTTCGGTTGAAAACCACGGTTCAAAACCGTTTTATTGCCCACTCATTTTATTCCAGCCAATTATATCGACATGAGATTTAATAATACACTGATTATGCCCAACGACTTTACCGATGCCTGAGAACAGGCCCGAGACGATGATCCTCCCCGTTCCAGCACGTCAACAACCGAAGAAGAGCAAACACCAATTCCTAATGCCAGTCGCCACTTTCTATGCATATCCTGGGTACTCTAATCGAGTATGGCAAACGAGTAGATCGTCTTCTTATCACCATGTCGGATCTACTCGGTACCCATTGTTTCATTCGCACTGAATCAGGATGGACATTCTTCGTGTCGAGTCTGTTGCGCATCAATGGATTGTTCTTCGCCTTGCTTGCATTGTTCTGATGTAATAAGAAATTTCGAGTTTTATCCTACCATCACTTATTAAAAATTGGCTTTTGTTGGTGGAAGTATAGAAAACGATGCCCTACAGAACCGGAAAACCTCAGTTTAGTTTCCGGTGATGTTGGCACACCTGAGCGGATTTTTTTGTGTGTGGAAGTGCAAGGTAAACTGACACCAATCAATAAGTTAAACCTGAAAGAAATTGAATCTGAGACGAAATCGATCGCTTCATTTAACGTTCCACAATCTAAACAAGATCTAAAACTCTTCAATTCTTGGTTGCGGTCACTCATGGCACCTATGAAGGTCATATCGGTCTCAGTATTTATTCAAAATCCAGTTTGTTGGCCGTTTATTATTGAGTGTACAAACACAGCTGGATGAAGATTGCGTGCATGAAGCTTCGGTCGGGTTTGTTAAAAGTCTGTATGAAATCGCTGGCTGGATCCGTCAAGCGAGACGGTGTGGAGGAAAAAAACAACCAAAAACCGTCTCAACATAATGCTTTGAAATCGTTTTATTAAAAGAAACTAAAAACTTAAACGATGTTTAGACATTGTTAAGTTATTAAGTTTTTAAGCGACTCTCCTAGAAAATTGCTCTTCTTGTTTTCTCCGAATACGTGGAAGTGTTCTTAGCGTCACCATTTTTAATCTTAGAAAATTATTTAATTTTCTCATGGCTCAATAAACAAAGTTGAATTGCACATTGTAAATGCTCGTCCATTAACATACTCGGTTAAGCATATTTATGTGTGTTACATGTCAATATATGGATATTGCAACTAAGAATTATAATGTAACACCGAGACAACTGGTCAAGATAACCACATTACACGCTTCCCTCTTTCCAAAAATCGAAAATTATTATCAACTGTGCACTAGCACAGCGTTTTCCAGACCCTTTGGTCCGCAGTCCAGTAACGGTCCTCAGAAGAAATACTCGTACTCAATTTTTAAAATTATTAATTATTAATTATTTCACTCTACTATGATGTTTTGAGATTTAAACCATATTTAAAATAAAAACTAAAATTAGCACTTTGATACTAATGCGAGTAATTTTATTGTCCACTTTAAATGAAATAAAAAAAAAGTTTTTGGATGCTAAAAGCATTGGTAAGCAAAAAGACAAAACTTGTATTTTACTTTAGCGGCCAAAAATGACCAAGAGCTCCATTTTTTTGAATATGTTAGAGTAGATATGTATATTTTTTCACAAAGGTCCACTTAAAAATTTTACAAAAATACTGGTTCGTCGCCGAAAAACATTAAGAAAGTTTGCACCAGCGCCAGCGTATTAACCACAAACCATTTCGTAATTTTATACTAGCAATATAAAATGAATTAATTAACTATAAAACATTTATGGTATTTTTTTTAATATAAAAACTTTGGTCTAGAATAAAATACAATAAAATTACGAAGAATTTAGAAAACAGTTTTTCCTTCGTCTATGTTATATGGATTTTGATAATACCGTTGCGTTGGCAAGTAGTTCAAAGCGTTTGTCACAAAAAGTTTACCTATAAAAAGTACAAAAGTTAAAAGCTAAACGATTACTTTTTTGTGGCAAACGGCAATTCATGATGAAATGTAATATTGAAGTAGATTGATCAGCAATTTTTCTTCTACCAGTTAACACAGGTCAGCAATTAGCAAATCTAAATTAGCACAATCATTGGAATCATTATTTATTTATTTTTAATTATTTCCTTGGCAAGATTAATCACTTTTTGAAGCTTACTTTTTGTATGGTATAATACAAAAATAATTTGACCATGACAATGAATTGGATCATTCAATAAAAATAATAATTTATATTAAGCATTTGTAACCAACAGATGTTTTTTTTTGTAGAAATATTAAAGTTACTCGTATGACAGCAACTACCTTATACACTTGCTATAAATTATAAATAATTATTGTAACACAACAGTTCACCATCACTAACATAAAACATAAAATGGTGTTCCTAATTTTAAATAAAGTGTAGTTTTTTTATTACCATAAACAACGAAGATGAAGAGTACTCCCTCCCAACAAAATATCTTCCTGTTAGTATTTGAAAAATTCATACTTTTTTACATCAAAGTTTTTTTATTTAATATTAATTGTTGTTTCGAACACTTGTTTGAATCATTTTTGTTAACCATGAAATAAATATGACTAGTTTTTCTAGATTATGTATTTATTAGTATGTAATTGAATTAAGTAAAGAATTATTATCTTCAAAAATGTAAATTTTGTTAACCAATGGAATCGAAGGCGATGAAAAAAATCTCTTAAAGTAACAATATTCGTAAATTAGTTAGAAGCTTATAGTCAGTTGACTTATGGTATCTGGATTAGGTATTAATAAATAATAGACAAATAATAAAAAAATAAATAAGTGCCTATAATCAATACAATAATGAATGCAAGAATACAATTCTTTAAGAAAAAGATTACTGAATGAAATTTATTCATTATGTAGTTAATACAATAATATTCTCTCTTGTGCCATTATTTATTATGAATGGATGAAGCAAACAAAGAAACAGGACGGCAGACAATGTAAAGGTAAAAAACAGTTCCAGTATTATACCAAGCAAGCCAATTGATTGAATTTATTAATAGATTATTTAAACTGATTAGTTTATATAGAATTATGTTTCCAAGAGATGTCGATGAGGCATTTAGTCTCGAAAAAGAGATGAAGCCGAATTTTCGAAAACCACATTCTGTCTCACTAATTTCAAGCATCGCAGCCCAAGTCTGGTCGTATCTTTCCCAATCTCGCAGTGGGCGTTAGATTTACGACTAAACTATAGCAGCAGGGATCCCAGTTATGATTATTGCGAATTCTCGACTCGCA